CCTCCTATAAACCGATAAACGTACATGGGTTTCCTTGTAAAAATGTCTGGTGTGGGTGGATGAATATACCTATGGTGTTGTTTTGCTTATATGTTGTTTTTATTTCATTTATGTATTTTATTTTAATATCATGATTATGCCTCTTTGCTATATTTTTGTACAGCGCGGTGAGCCCAGCCCTAGGCTGGGGTGCCGCGCTATATAAGACCACTTATTATTATTATTATTATATTAAAAATATCAAGAAACATAAACGGTAAAATAAAACTGTTCTAAACAGAACTTACAATTAGAAAATAATGCTAATACTATAGTTAACTATATCATTATCACTTAGGTCTAATGCTTTTTAAAAAAAATTAAACTCTAAATAATTTATATTTACTTCGTTTTTGTTCTTGGGTGGCTGGCTGGCAGGCAAAATCTTCGGATGGCTAATCGACCCACTTCCCGTCAAGCTATTGAGCTGAAATTTGGCCCAAAGACTCATTGCCGATGACAACAGATGATATCAAATTTTAAGTCCCATGCCCCAGCCCCCAAAAATCAGTTTTCCCCGTTTTTCAAAGCGAGCGTGAAGGAAAATTCCCGATAATTAAGATTCTTTTTTTTTTAAATGGCAAGTGCGTTTCATGTGTAATATTTTCTGTTGTTTTCCTAAAATTGTTGGTGAAATAAATCTGAGGTGTAGAAGTGGGTGGTTCGTTCGAGTATTCGTGTGTGGTTGCGGGCCTTGGAAAAGAAAGGGGGTGGGGGAGGTACTTATTGGGATTCTTAGAAAGTGCGTTACTTGTATGCATGTTTTGTCAACTTTTCACCCCCCCCCCACCCCCCACCCCCACTGCTCGACATTGCATTTAATAAAAGATGTACGGTATACGAAAAGCTATGTTTTAAGGGTTGTTAAATTATATAATTTTTTTTTTTTTAAATGTCTGTTTGTCACTTTGATCGGAGGGTGGGGGGGGGGAATNCCATATCATCGTTTACAACTCTCAGAGCATTGAGCCGTGTTATGTACTTCGCAGTATATATATTTAAAAAAACAAAAGCCACCCCTATTTCATGAGTGAGTTGTTGAGAACTCCTGCAACATTTTGACCACGCTTCGAAAGATTTACTTCATTGGCCTTGACCAGCCCACGATTGAAACCAACCAATGACCAAGTATATTAAGTTATCTTTATAAATCCAGCTAGAATTAAGAATCGTTCTTTTCTAGATCATCACGCCATTGTTACCACCTCGTGACTTGTCTGAAGCCGGCACATTCTAACCTATCTGGTCCCCATATTGCCGTAGAGTGAGATATCACCCCCCCCCCCTAGGAGCTGGATTGGGGATAATTTCCCCAAAACTTACAAAGGAAAAGCTATTCCAAAACATTGTGCTATTCCAAAACATCGTTCCTGCCCCGAGAAGCCACGAAGGAGAGGAATGGAGAAACCACTTCCAACGTTGAAGTGACCCCCCCCCCCAACCCCACCCCGCTCCCAAGATTGATTGAACCAGATTATCAAAACCTTTTTATATTGATAAATTTCAGTTGTAACGGTTTGATCACACAGAATTCTGTTACCAAGCAATCGACTATTATAATGAATGTTAGGCATCACGGGAGGCCAATGTCCATAATTAATAGAACCTCGATATAACCTATATTATGCAAATAATCCTTAACTACTTTAACCTATTTGAAGTGTTGTAAAATCCATGTAAATAAATAAGTTCATTTTAATTGCAGTGATATCTGTAACACGGTTATTCAGTCCAGAAAGGCAACGCTGAATGTCGAACTGTAATACTTAAAAAGTTAGATTTCAGAGCTGGCAAATCTTCCCAACAGCTGGAAAAGTGGATGGAGCAAAGATAAGCATGTTACTTCTAGTTTATGCACAGAAGTGAAACTCTATTGAACGCAAAGCGCAAAAGAAAGGGGTTCGATGATGAAGGTGCTACAGAAGTCGCATATTTGTAAAAACAAGATGAAATGAGCGAATCCGATGATGAAATGGACAAATCCGTTGATGAATTGGACGAATCCGATGATGAAATTGACGAATCCGGTGATGAAATGGACGAATCCGGTGATGAAATGGACAATCCGATGGGAAAGCATATTTCAGAAAGCCGGTCTTCTATGTAATATTGGTTAATCGTATTGGTGGACTCACCTTTCATTTCAATGATGCAGTGAACATTTCTGAGAATTTCGGTTTCTCTGGAAGTACCTATCAATTCCTCAAGATGAAATGAAAGAAAAATTCTTGGCTCATTAATATCTCGCTGAAATCAGTGACGACATTGTAATGGCAATAAGTCGTTAAGCCATCTGTTCATCAAGCATATTTTGGGGACGGCCAACTGAGTCTTTTAGAGCTTGAAAAGTTACAAGCTGTAAGGACATTCCATAATATTTGTCCACTACGTTACAGGGGTGGCTGGCATGGGCGCCCGCAGAAAACTTTCTAGGGGGGGGGGGGCAAAAAATCGACTAACTTTCCAGGGGGGGCAAAATTTTTTTAGTAATGTTTTAATATAGTTTTAATGTA